GGGGCGGCCCGCGAGTACCGGGCGCACCGCTCCGTCCTGGCCGCCGCCACCGAGTACTTCACGCCGCTGCTCTCGGGGGGCTTTGCGGAGTCGCGCTCGGGCCGCGTGGAGCTGCAGAAGTGGAGCTCGGAGGGCGGCCCCGACCCCGACACGGTGGAGGCCGTCGTCGGCTTCATGTACACCGGCACCATCCGCGTCAGCCCCGGCAACGTCCACGAGGTGCTGGAGATGGCCGACAGGTGAGCGGGGCCCGGGCCCGGGGGGTGCGACCGGGCCGGCGGCGACCGGGCCGCACCATCACCCCTGTTCGTTTGTTCTGCAGGTTCCTACTGACCCGGTTAAAAGAGTTCTGTGGGGAGTTTCTGAAGAAGAAGCTCAATCTCTCCAACTGCGTTGCAGTTCACAGCTTAGCCCACATGTATTCCTTGAATCAGCTGGCCCTCAAAGCTCAGGATATGATCAGGAGAAACTTCCACAAAGTTATCCAAGATGAGGAGTTCTACACTTTGCCCTTTCACCTCATCAGAGACTGGCTCTCAGACTCGGAGATCACAGTGGACTCTGAAGAAATCCTCTTTGAGACTGTTTTGAAGTGGGTTCAGAAAAATCCTGAGGAAAGAGAGAGGTACTTTGAAGATCTCTTTAAACTGCTTAGATTGTCTCAGATGAAACCCACTTACCTTACTCGCCATGTCAAATCTGAAAGGCTGGTATCGAGCAACGAGGCCTGTGTTAAATTAGTGTCTGAAGCCGTGGAGAGTCACGCCTTGCGGTCTGAGAACTTGCAGTCTGGTAATCTACAACATTCCGCTTGTCCTGTAGCGTTGTTGCCGCGTTTTGGACAAAACATGGACGTCATTATGGTGATTGGTGGTGTGTCAGAGGGAGGAGATTACTTGAGTGAGTGCGTAGGGTATTTCATCGATGAAGATAGGTGGGTAAACTTACCGCACATACATAATCATCTTGATGGGCATGCTGTTGCTGTGACAGAATCTTATGTTTATGTGGCTGGCTCCATGGAACCAGGGTTTGCCAAGACTGTAGAAAGGTACAATCCAAACAGAAATATTTGGGAGCAAGTCTCAAATCTAATAACCAGAAAGCATTCTTTTGGCCTTACTGAAGTTAAAGGAAACTTGTACAGTATTGGCGGACATGGCAATTTCAGTCCTGGCTTTAAAGATGTGGCCATTTATAATCCCGAGCAAGACAAATGGCTTAACCTGGAGTCAGCACCAAAGATTCTTCGTGATGTCAAAGCTGTTTCTGTAGAAGACCGGTTTGTTTATGTTGCTGCTCGTACCCCAGTTGACAGTGATAGCGAAGATGGATTGAGGGCAGTTATTATCAGATACGATGCTGAAACAAGGCAGTGGCAGGATGTGGAGTCTCTGCCACTCATTGATAATTATTGCTCTTTTCAGATGTCTGTTGCTAACACAAACTTTTACCATACGGCATCGTGCTGCCCCAAGAGTTACCCTATAGATAATGAGGAAGCCAAGGTAAAGATCTCTGGCAGGGCCTCGGATGAAATACTTGAAAGCTTACCCCCAGAGGTTCTTAGCATTGAAGGAGCAGCTATTTGTTATTATAAAGATGATGTTTTTATCATTGGGGGGTGGAAAAACAGCGATGATATTGACAAGCAATACAGGAAAGAGGCCTATCGTTACTGTGCTGAGAGAAAGCGCTGGATGCTTTTGCCTCCTATGCCTCAGCCTCGCTGCAGAGCAACAGCCTGCCATGTGAGAATTCCCTTCAGATGCTTGCAGGGAACACAAAGATACCCTATGCCACAAAATTTGATGTGGCAAAAAGATAGAATAAGGCAAATGCAGGAAAGGCAGATGCAGGAAATACACCGACACTCCCTAAGCTTACGGAGAATGCCACGCTCACAGATTGAGTGCTAGTTTTTGGAATACCACTTCTCCTGATGAATCTAGGAAATACTGTGCTAAACCATTTTGTTAGGCTTGATATGTCTTTATAAGACATGGGGGTGTTGATTGGATTTGATGCATAAAACCAGCATCTTTTATGTATTGAAAATTAAGAAGCTCAGAAATTGAGGATGGATGGGAATTGTGAAACTATGTGAATCCACCAGTATTACTTAATGGTGCCCAGGGAAAAACTAGCCGGGAACATTAAGTCTGTTATTTCTCTCTTCAGATCTTTGTTTTCAAGGATTTCTGTAGAGTTAGTCTCTAACAGTTCTATTTTGAAAATCAAAGATCTCTATCTTAATAATTTAGTGGTTACATTTGTGTGTGCTTGAAAGCACCTGTTTTATTTGCACTTATATATTGACATTCCTTTGATTCTCTCCTTCTCAGTGACTAAACTTCACATATAATTGGTGTTAGTGTACTTAGCTTTCCCAAGTTGGAGGCAAGTGCAATAGTTATATATGAAAACAAAAGCACAATCTTTCTTTATAAAATTACTTCAGGATGTTTCTATGTGTATTAAATATTTTGTATCTGTATGTTGTAGAGAGGTTGCAGAGTTTGTTTATAAATGGATGATTGGTAGAACACAAGACACTTGCTAAAACGGAGAACTTGAGGCAGTAGGTTCTTTTTCAGGTGTATTTGAAGATGCTTTGAGTTTGTCTTTGACAGCTTCATTAGAAACTTGGGCCAACAGTCAGCCTGATAAAAGGGGTGAAAACCAGCGAAGTAGCCACCTACCAACATTGACTATTCATTTCTATCAGTGTGGATTAGTAAGAATGAGATTATTTCACAGTAGTAAGTTGAAACCTGAGCTACTTGTAGATCCTTTCTCAAATGTTGCACACGTTTTAATTCTAGTGAAAAAGTGATTAGAAGAACCCCCACGAGCCCGTTTCCAGCCTGTCTTTGACAATCGGTACCCTTTGCCTTCAGTATACTTTCCTGAGAAACTTACAGTAGCTGTGCTGCAGTGCTCCTTAACAAATCAGCACTTGGCGTTCCCCTTGAAGTGAGATAGCTGAGTTTTCATAGTCTCTAAGTATTTTAATTTCCTCACTTACTGTGGCGGTAAGATTTAAGATGATTTAAATACCTTTTTGCATTTTGAGGTGGTTTTACATAAACCAGTGCCCTGGTTGGCTCTGGTTTGCTTACTGCTATGCTCCCAAGGAACAGAACGTGGAATATTTCCTTTAGAGTGTCGCTGCCTCTCAGTTAACTGTCCCACTGAACACTCCTTCTCCCTGATCCAAAGAGCTCCAGGATGATTTAGGTTACTAGCGGATTCAGTGCATCCTTCCTACCTCCTTTTCTTCCCCATCCTTCCCTTCATTTGAATGTTTCAGGTTTTCACATGCAACCTAACTCAGGATCTGAGGGAAGGGAAAGGGAGGAGTAACCAGGGTGTTCCAAAATTTGTGTAGACAAACATTGGAGAATCTGTATACTGTCTTTGGTTCATATGATGATTTGCTGGTGGTTTTGATGTGGGCAACTTCTTTGCAAAAGAACTTCTAAACAGTTTGGTTTTTTGTTTTGTTTTGTTTTTTAATTGTTTAGCTTTCTGAGCTGATACTTCTCATTTTCCAATTCAACAGGCAACCTAGATCATATCTGAAACACTGGGTAAGTCTTTCAACCACATAGTGTGTAAAGGTTTCTCTGTGTACATCCCTTAACACTCCACTTTGCAGTTCACTTGCCACTTTTGATATCAATAACTTGTCTTTTTGTAATAGAGTAATCTAGCCTTGTTTAAAAAAAAAAAAAACAAACCTTGAAAATCTTAACAGTTTAGTCTCAATTTACTCATCTATGGTAACCGTGTTGTATTTTATTTGCCTGTTGGGTTGTTATGCAAGGGCAGATTAAACTGTACGATGCTGGCCTAATGCAAGAGAGGAAATAGATAAGCTTGTTCAGGTTTAAGGCTGATGTTCAGAAGTGACTGTTACCAAATCAGCTCATGCAGGCCTTTAAGCAAGGGGTTAATCAGTGGAGTTTGGCCCATGAACTCTTGCAGATTTGGCTGGAGTAGTTTAAGAATTACTGCCCCTACAGCAGGGTTTGTGAATAGAAGTGTGAAAATGCCTCACAGCTTTAGTACTAAATCCATTGATTTAACTTAAATTTGTGGGACCTGATTTTAAGATACTTTACCAGACTTTGCACAGAAGCAACTGAGAAGATTTTACATGCTCCATCCCACTGACTTTGCTGTAGGAATTTTTAACAAGCAGTTGAAGGATGGTAGTATGTCAGACCACCACAGCTCTGTCAAAGCCCTCTTGTAGTCTGTCAACAAATCTGGACAATTTGTAGGGAGAAATACCAAGATTATTATTTCAGTTGGAATATGAACTAAATAGTTTAACGTGTGGTAGCGTGCAACAAAATCAAATGCAAGAACAAACTTCTTGCGGTCTTTCTTTTTCTAAGCAAAATTGCTGTTGCACTTACCATGAGAACTTCTGGCTGACATACAAGCTGTACAGTTTACTAAAGACATTCCGCTCAAAGGCAATGTCAAAACAGCTTAGTGTCTGGACAGCTTAACTTGTGAATGCCAGCCATGATTCTGTATGTGATGCACTATATCTTCGTATGTTCCGTTTGCATGGTGAGTGATGGGCACTGTGGACAGCACTGGTTTGCTCTAACTTTTGCTATGCCAGTTCTGTGGAATTTTTAAATAGTTGGGGTTTTTTTTAGCCTTGACTTTAAGTGGACCAATTGCATTGCACATGGGTTTTAACTGACAAGTCTAACTATCCAATGTATCACATGTAGGTGTTCAGAAGAATTGCGTTATTGACTCTGGCTGTAATTTAGCCCACTAACCTGTGAATCGCATAACAAATTCCTTGTGGCCCTTGACTGCCGTAGCTTGCTGGGTGTTTATAAAATGATCCTACAAACAAAAGCCTGGGAATTCTTTCAGTGTGTTTATAGTGGCTAGTTAAATGTCAGCAAGATCCTAGTGTGTATTCAGCTGAGTATTAGGAGGCTGGCTTCTGGCTTTCCTAATGTAAAAGAACATCAGGTGGAGTTTTTCCTCCTCCTTACGACAATCGTACCTCTATACCTGTACTGAATACATGCCACAAAATGCATGTGTCATGTCCTGTCTTTCTGCTCAAAGTATCAGTGGAGTAGGACACATCCTGCCTAGCACTTGGCTGTCATTGTAGTAATTTCTAGGTGCCATATGTGTACATAATATTTTATAACTACCTGAATACTCTGTTAGTACGCTGGGTTTGTATGTATTTTTAATAAGACTTTCTCTTGCACATAGTAGGATACCACTCCAGAAATGAAGAAAACATGCCAACTTTTTAGCATGCATTATGAATAACTATGCCAAGCATTCTGCTAGACTGTTTCAATATAATTTTTCTTCATTACAGTAAATGTTAGAATCAGAACTATTGGCTCAACTAGTGTGTCACGGAATAGACTGATTGCTGCTGATAAACTGAGTCTCAAAGAATTGCAACTTTTTAGGTTATTTTTAACACAACCTTGTAATAGTATGTTGTAACATTCAATGGTCTTAAAAAAGCAAGCTTAAAATAAGTGGTTTATGGCTTAGATTTATTTTCAGCTATGTCCACATTATGTTAGGGTATAAATCATATCTCTGATTTGACAGTCCTGAGCGGAAGGCAGATAAAACAGGTGCTCCTGAGGATCTAATCTTATTACTAATATGAATGTAAAGTGTGGAACTAACGTGATGTTTGAAGACCATTAATAGTCAGATACTCCTCGTAGGTCCATGTCACTGTGGATCATGGCAGCTGTACTCTCCTGTCGATATTAATGTAGACTTCAACAGATTGCTTGAGGAAGCAGCACTCCTGTACTTACTTCCAGTAAGGTAAAGTAGTATGTGTGTATAAGGCTGTTTGAAACAAATCCTACTGTAATGTTCTTTACCTTAAATACACTGTACTAAAGTTTATTGTAATAAGTGAATTAATGAAAATAAACCTTTTATTTCTCTAGCATTCTGTGGTACCTCTTATTTTTTAAGTTGCTATGTAGGCTGTGGCCGATACACACATTTTGTGGTGCCATAGAATGAAAGTTTTAAATACTAATTATTCATTTGGCCTGTATCAATTGTTTTTATTTTAGAATAAGTGAAAGTGAATACATTCACTTGCTGCTCAGAAGACTTTATTAGCTAAGTGGAGCTGTTTATACAGGCAGGCTACTTGTTGAAGAAGTGAACCTGACTTCCTTTGAAGAGTCGTCCACGTAGCAGTCTCGTCTGGCAACGTACTCCCCGACGTTAGATAGACCTGGCACCACACAGCAGCTCAGAGCACTACGGTATATGCCCATGTCGTGAACATCGTACCACTCATTAGCGTTTTCATCATAACACTCAACGTTGAAAGTAGTGGTAAAACCGTTAAAGCCACCAACCACAAACAAAAGATCATCCACCACTTCGATGCCAAAGTTGCTGCGAGGATTGAACATGGTGTGGACTGTGCGCCATGTGTTGGCAACAGGGTTGTAAGCTTCCACGCTCCGAAGCCGGTTGACTCCATCAAATCCTCCTACCTGTGAATGCCAAAGGTACAGAGTTGAAATAGGCCTTTCCTCACCCACTGTCAGCCGAATCATTTCGCGCACAAGTAGGATGGTAACTGGTCCTGCCTCACTGACTTCAGTTTGAGCATTGCTGAGAGCATGTGATCTCAAAACACAATGCTTGCTTGTTGCAGACTGCTCCCTTGTTCTTTCTGGAGCTTCCAGAAGTTATTTTGTGCAACTGTCAGATGTTATACTTCCATAGAGTTTAAATGCAGTACATGGACACGATAAACAGGACCAAGCAGGTGTTCTGTGCTGCTAATGCTGTTAGCAGCAGCAGAAAATAATTTCTTTGCTGCAGTTGCTTAAAAATTGTCCACACATTTTTCATAACAAAAAGTGTGCAGGTGATAATATTCTCAGGAGGCGTATCAACCATTCTGGCTCTGGCTTTCTTCCCTAAATCTCACTTAAAAGCAATGGCCAGCCTGAAAGTCTAGGAAATGCAGATTAGCAAAAATAAGTACTACAAGTGCTGGGTGGTGTTACAGCAGAGGTACCACTTCTCCCTTACCGCATACACTTCATTTCCATACGCGATCACACCCACTCCACTTCTTCTGCTTCTCATTGGGGCTATAAAGGTCCATTGATTTGTTGTGGCATCATACACTTCAGCTGTGATCAAGCATTCATTTCCGTTGAACCCACCACATATATACACCTGTTTACAGGAGGAAAAAAAGTGTGAGCAGGGCAGTTAGACTCTTGGTGGGAGAACATACTGAGGAGAAAATGAATGGTGTGGCTGGATTTTTGGGGGGTTGGTTGGGTTGGTTGGTTTTGTTTTGTTTTTAATGTGAATGGTCATCCTGGGTCTGAAGTAATAAAAGCGCAGTGAGTTATTCAGGCCAGCAGGATTTAGACCCTTTATTTCCTGAACTGCACGAAGCAGATAGGCATGGTATTTGACCTGTGGCCAGGAAAAGTACTGTCCGGCAGCAAGTGGGCTATTGGTGGTAAGCAGCTCTGGAAGAGTCTTGCCACTCCTGTCTGCGTCTCCGTCGCACCAGTCAGTTGCTGCCTCTTAGAGAGCTTCATATCTGCAGCTCGCGGATTTGATGAATAAGGTTTACATGAACATTCTTCCTCTTTATTTTAAATGATCCATCACGTTAAAGGGAGCATTTGTTACCTTCCCTGCTCCCACAACTCCTCTTTTTTATCTAGATGACGAACTCTGAGTGGGAGCTGTGTTTATCACTGGCTGAGCTCCGTGAAAGTCCCTACCTTGATATGTGCCATATGAAAGGACAGGCACTTGCTCACTGTGTAATGCTGTGCACCGATGTTTGGTTCCTTGTCCTGCTCACCATGCTTCAACCTTAACTCCTTTCTGTAATCTCACGGTCCGCTTACCTTTTCATGCAGTGTGGTCGCACTAGCATCGCTTCTCTGCTCGTGCATGGGGGCAACCAGTGTCCACTGGTTCGTCTCTGGCTCGTACCGTTCTGCTGTGTTGAGGCGCGTGTATCCATCAAACCCTCCCATGGCGTAGATGAAGTTGTTGAGAACGGCGACGCTGACGTAGCAGCGCCGCGAATGCATGGGTGCGACCTGCTGCCATGTTTTCTTAAGTGGGTCAAACCGCTTGACGCTGTTGAAATAATCCACGCTGTCAAATCCTCCGATAACATAGACAAAGCCTTTTAAATAAGCAGTGCCGTGATAGGCAAGGGGGCTTTCTTGCTCACATGTGACGTTCACCCACTTGTCTGCACGGGCGTCGTATGTTTCAATGGCGTTGGTTGGGCTCCCCCCGCTCCAGCCTCCGATAGCAAACAAGATGGCATAGGGAAGGCGAGGCCGACTGAGCGGGTTGGTGAAATCAGAGTAAGACGGGCCGTGCATATTGAGGTTGTACATTTCTGTCAGCGCGTTTATGATGAGAACTTTGCACTCGTCGTTGTCCTTCACATAATCGTGCGTTTTGACGTTGTTCATGAAGTATTCTGCTTGCATCAGTGCCAGTCGAACCTGAAAAATGGAAAAAGGAGGTTAGAATATTAATGCAGATGCTTTACACCTTGGTATCCTTTGTGGATAGCTCCAATGCTGGATGGCTTTGCTTTCAGGCTACAGTGTTGTCTAAAGCTTATTAGAGAACCAGAGAATTAAATGTGTAGTTTTTAGCTAGTCCAGAAAGGAGTGTGCAAGGGTAAATAATTCGATTTCATGGCAGGGAGTCTGCCACTGCTTTGGCACGGTGCTTTCCTGTACGCAGACTGAAACTGCCCTAACACCTGCTGCTATTTGCATAGTATAGCTTGTCTAGGCAAATGCTCATAAACTTTGTGTATGTAGAGATAACGTCATCCCACGTGAACTTTGGCCCTTCCTGGATGTGAGGAACAGTTAAACTTAAGCTCTAAACATGAGGAAATGTGCCCCAACCCCAGCGCAGGATTTTCGACCTGTGCCTCAGCATAGCACTAGCCTAACAGTCTGAAAGCTCACTTCTTTGTGAGCGGTGTTAGGAGGCTGCAATTTCCTCCAGTCTTAGAAGAAAAGCAAAGCAGCTCTGGCTTAGCTACCCCGTGCCCAGCCCTGCAGAGCCGCCCGGGCCCATGCCGTGACAGCACCAACCTTGCCCAGCAAGACTGCAATGTGCTGCCTCCTGTTCTGTGGGTCGTGAGCAATCCATTTCACAATAGCCTCGAACACAGCATCTTCTTGTTTCACATTGAGCTCATCCTTCTCAATGATGTGCTTTAGCTCGTTGACGGAGAGGTCTAGAAACTCTGTAGACACCTTAGTCATGTCCTCGAAGTGATGGAGGATGAACACATAGGCTGCTTCTCGCAGGTCAGGGCAGTGGTAATAATCTGTGAGTCTGCAGATGCCGATGCAATTTTCCAAGCATAGCTGGGATTTTAAGAACTCACAGCACAGTCTGATGACACCCATGATATTGAACTGGTCTGCTGCGGTTAGCAAACTTTCAACGTTGTCAGCCGTGACTGGTACTGTCCTGGTGTAGGCGTACTCAATAATGAGCCTCATCATTTCAGGTGAAGTGCCAGGGATTTTATACACTATCTTCTCTGCGTTGTTCCAGCTGCTGGTAAACAAAGCCCTGAAAAAACAAAGCAGCTTTGCTGCGTTAAACCCTGACCCCATTATCCCCCGTGCCTTCTTCCCCAGGCACCAATTTGGGCACTAGCAGTAGCCATGCTGGGAGGCCGTGTAGTTTATTAATTAATGTTTTACTAGCTGGTTGTTTTAAAAAGGAGTCACAGCCGCCGGCTGTGGACAGAAAGCAACAGGGCAAGCTGCCACCTTGCTTCAACAAGAATACCAGAGAATAATGGTGTGTGGGGAAGGAAAACCTCCCACCCGATGGCGGATAAGCCAGGCTGGCTACGCTCCCAGCCCTGCACCGCATCTGGGGTTCGTCAGACACCACTTCAGAGCTGCTGTTAGATACTAGGGTGTGGATTAATTCTGGTGTCCAGGCAGGTACCAAGACTGGGTAACTGCTGGATGAGAGTTTTAGTGCTGATGTAAGCGCTGGAGATAAACTAAGACAATGTGACACAGACTAGGAAATACTGTTTGTCCCCATCCCCTCTTGTTTCAAGCACTGACCTGAAATAGTGACTGCAGCTACAGAGGATGTTCTTGTGAGCATTGAATTCAATACCATCCACGCTGATGATCACATCACAGAGTTTCCCTTCCAGGCGAAGCTCATTGAAGACGGTGCAAGCCATAGCACTCATCTTCCTCTCCATGTGTAAGGATGAATACCCGGTGGGTGCCAAGCTATCGCCCATGTTGAAGCCTGAGGCAGTGGAAGGTGCTTCTCTCTGAGGTGCTACAGGGCTTTGTCCTTGCCCTCCAACATCATCTCTCAAACCCTGTCTGGTGGTTCTGGAATATGCCCCACAATGAGATCACAGACGCGGGGGAGACCCGGGACTGGCTGTGGGCCCCTCCGCAGGCAATGGGGTCCTGGTCCTCCCGGCTCCCTCGCTCCATGGCTGCCCTCAGCCTTCGCTTAACCACAGCCCAGATTATGCTGGACCCTGTACCTACACCCTGTTGATGGCTGCTCTGAGCAAAAACAGCCTTGTGATTCCCCTGCAACTTTTTAATATTATTTAGCCTGGGTATAAAGCTCCCCAAACATAGGCACCAACTGCTTCTGAAGTGCCCTTGTATCAGCTCACACAGGAGGAAGCTGAGACACAGGGTAGCTAATGTCAGTGATGAAGCCACAAACACTCTGTCACTGCCGTATCTGCTGCTAATTTGGAGAGGTGGAAGGTGCTGCCCGGGGCCAAGGAGAGGAGAGGGGGAGGACAGGGAGCCCCATCCTGACTCCTCACTGGCTTCACTCATGGCCAACTGCTTTTCCTCTGTGTTTCATCATGTCTGTAGGTAACACGGGTGCCAAGGAGCACCTCTGTGAGGGTCCAAAGAAGGGCAACGAAGCTGGTGAAGGGTCTAGAGCACAAGTCTTATGAGGAGCAGCTGAGGGAACCGGGGTTGTTTAGCCTGGAGAAAAGGCGGCTCAGGGGAGACCTTATCGCTCTCTACA